GATCAGAGGTTTTGTATCTACTGATAAGAGCTTTCATGTCATAATCATATTTTTAGATGTTTTAAGAAAAGAATTTTATACTAAGAATCTTTTTATGAAAACCAGACCAGAGAGGCTCTAGTTGGCTTACACGTTGAACTTGAGAGGCTCTGGTTGATCATGTCTTTTGAACCAGAAGCTCTGGTTAGTACAACCAGAGGCTATGGTCGAGGAACTAGAAGCTTTGGAAGAAATACCAGAGGGGCTCTGGTCCTGGATGTTGAAATATGTTACAAGTGTGGTTTGGAACCAAAGGCCCGATGGCCCGAAGCAGTATGTTTTTAGTTTTGCTTCATAAGATGAATGATTTGAAATAAACATTTTGGTGATCTTCACACTGCACTACATAAAAGGGAACCTCACTAGACATTCATGTCTAACCCTCATTTCGTGTTTTCAAAATTATGTGTGCATGTAAAGATAATAAGGGAAAGAGCATTATGTGAATTACTTCCCTATGTGCTTAGCTATTTTGGAAGCATAGATGCTAGGATATAAGAGCATGTACTTTTAAAATATTTGGGTTGTGTATTTTACATTATAGACTCTTGTATCAAAGACCTATGTGGGGGAAAACATGTATTTTATATATGAAATATGGGTTATATGCAATATAATATCCGTGTTTCGTTAACTCGTACAAACTGGGTTACGTAAATTTTTGGTAGAATTATGCATAACATATTTGTACCCTATGCTTAACCAACTTATACCCTAGACTAGTTTTGTGTCAAAAGTTGAGTTTATACCTATATTAGTATGAAGTTGAGAATATAGATTTAAAGGGTGAAAACCGCCAAATAGTTAAACTATATATAAATAAATATATATATATATATATATATATATATATATATACAGGTGCTACACACTCGATTGTTTCTGAAAACTTCGAAGAAAATCTTAAATCATATGAACAATCCACTAAATTTCCATTACATATTACTACTCCATGGGTAGTTCAATATGTATATTTGGGCAATTCCCAAACTGTCCGTTATTTATTGGCGATCGAATTCGGGAAGTTACTTTACTACCGATGAAAATGGATCACTTTGATATCATCCTTGGCATGGATTGGTTGTCTAAACATCGAGTGACCATCGACTGCAAAGCCAAACAAATCATCTTCGGTCACGTCAATGAACCCGAATACGTGTTCCAGGGTGTTTCACCTGAGAAGGGAACTCGTGTTATCTCAAAAGTAAATGTTAAAGCAATGGTATGGCAAAGATGTGAAGGATTATGCCTTAAACTTGAAGATATTCCTGTTGTTAATAAATTTCAAGATGTCTTTCCAGATGAACTTCCAGGAGTTCCTCCGGAAAGGGAAATTGAATTTACAATTGATCTTGTTCCGAGAGCTGCATCTATCTCAAAGGCTTCGTATCGTATGGCTCCGACCGAAATGAAAGAACTTAAGGAACAACTTGAAGATCTTTCTAATCGTGGTTTCATTCGACCCAGTGTATCTCCGTGGGGTGCACCGGTC